ATTCGTGTTTCAACCGTGAACCAGTTGTGTTTGCATGGCTGTATTTCGGTTTGAAGGATGGGATATGTCGTGAATTTGCTGGGTACAGGGGAATAACACCTGAGTCCTCAGGAATGGCAACGCATGGGGGTATCATGGGCGAAACAGTATACTCTGTTATGTGCATGGTACTGCTCATGTGTATAGGCGACGGTTGCCACTTTCCATCAGGTGGGCCGTCAGCTTGTTTGCCATTCTAAGTTGTATAAAAAAAATCCAAAATAATAAGATAGCTACACTTTGCGTAATTAGATAGCTAGGTACGAGTATATATTTGTCTTGGTCGAGGGAAATAAAATTTAATTATTTATATAATTAATCAAAAAATGTAAATTAATTGATTAATCTAATTAAAAGTAGTGGAATGTAAATATTATTACACCTTTAAATTTTACATATTTTTTCGTATATACTAGCTGACTCGGCAAACGTTGTTTTACCATATACATTATTTCGAGAACTATACATGAAAATTTATCGTACTACAATTATTATATTGGATTGCCATCTTATCATATTATATTACATTATAGGGTTGCACCCTATAATGGAATATAAAAATTGCGATTAAAAAACAGGGGTTGATCGTAAAAGGGTGAAAATTTGAAGTTGTATGTATTTTTCAATGCTAAATCATATTAAAATAAAAATACAAAATTTTGTCAAAAAAATTAAAAAAAACTTTTTTAAGGGTGGGTCACTCTTCATTGTGGGGTATAAAAAATAGATGTTGGCCGATTCTCAGACCTACTCAATATGCACACAAAATTTCATGAAAATCGGTAAAGCCGTGTCGGAGGAGTTTGGTAACAAACGCCGTGACACGAGAATTTTATATATTAGATATTGAGTTAAGCTACCGTCCATAGAAACACTAAATTAAAAAAGTAAATATTTTTTGGACGTTTGCGTAAAAAAATATATTATTTAAAAACTTTACAGACATAGTATGATGATGCGTTATCATGTTTTTTTCAGTTTATTACCTGTATTTATAAAATGTAGAGCCATTTTAGGTCATAAAGATAAAAATATACCTGCATTTATGGTATCACTGAAAAAGGATAGGTAGTTTTTTTATGAATGGTAACCCTGCCCGTGCTATCGGTATACACTGGCGGGGCACCAATGCGGGATGATAGGTGACGATGAAAGCAGGTCAGTTAGGCTATCGTGACAAATTCCACTAGAATTAATCACGATGGTTTCCAGGGGGAACCGCGTGGAGGTCAACCTCATAGGGTGTATTGCTAGCAATGAGTCAATTAGACACCATTACTAACAATCCTTTTTCTCTCAGGATAGATAGTTAGGTAAATTAAAATTAACTTCGTAAGTTAAACTAAACACTTTTAAAGTTATATTTTGTTTGTTTATTTTCCATTCTAAGTCGTATTTGTATTTGTTATTTTATGCAACACAGAATGGCAAACAAGCTGACGGCCCACCTGATGGAAAGTGGTAACCGTCGCCTATACACATGAGCAGTACCATGGACATAACAGAGTATACTGTTTCGCCCATGATACTCCTCATGCGTTGCTATTCCTGAGGACTCAGGTGTTATTCCTCTGTACCCAGTAAATTCACGCCATATCCCATCCTTCAAACCGAAACACAGCTATGCAAACACAACTGCTTCATGGTAGAAACACGAATGGGACAGAAGTACCCAAGCAATCGACTTTTGTACAAAGTCTCCCTCTTATATCCTATATCCTCTATCTTATATCCTCTCCTATAACTTATTTTATAATTAAAAATTCAAATTTTAAACATTTATTTATTCTCCACAATACTGTATGAACAAACTATTTACTTAAGAAAACTCAATGTATGGATAAACAAGCTTAAGTGGCAATGGGCTGGTCACATAGCTCGAAGAACCGACAACCGATGGGGGAGAAAGATTCTTGAGCGGCGACCGCGTACGGCTAAACGCAGTGTAGGACGATCCCACTAGATGGAGTGGACGACCTGAAATGCATTGCAGGGCGTCAGTGGATGCAGGTGGCTCAGGACCGTTCTTTATGGCAGTCTATGGGGGAGGATTATGTCCAACAGTGGACGGATGATGGATGAAATAAGTCAGTGTATGTATAGTAGAGACTGATGGTTGAACTAGGATATATATCTTATATATAAAAATATATATATATATATATATATATATATAAAATTCTCGTGTCACGGCGTTTGTTACCAAACTCCTCCGAAACGGCTTCACCGATTTTTATGAAATTTTGTGTGCATATTGGGTAGGTCTGAGAATCGGTCAACATCTATTTTTCATACCCATAAGGGTGACTCTCCCCAAAAAAAATTTTTTTTTTCTTTTTTTGACAAATTTTTCCACTTTTATTTTATTATGATTTAGCATTGGAAAATACATACAAATTCAAATTTTCACGCTTTTACGATCAACACCTCTTTTAAATCGCGATTTTTATATGCCGCAATAGGGTTGCAAGATGACAATCGAATATAATAATTGTAGTACGATACATTTTCATTCTCGAAATAACGTATATGGTAAAACAACGTTTGCCGAGTCAGCTAGTATATTACAAATAAATATAATACCTACCTACTTATAAAATAGATGTATCTCAATTACATTTTCTGATAACTTCTATTTAGACATTTACGTATGGATAATTATAATAATATTATTGCAATAAATTGACTGAAGTCTAACTAGATTCATCACCATCATCATGTCAGCCTTTAACTGTCCACTGCTGGACATAAGCCTCCCCCTTGGGGGGTTATGCCAGTAGTTGCCACGCTTGGCAGGCGGATTGGCAACCGCAGTTAGGCTTTAGAGATGTTTTAAGAGGAACGCTGCTGCCCATCCCTGGCTCTCCCTTAGTCGGCTCTTACGACACCCACGAGATAGAAAGGAGTGGTCGGGACATTCCATGTCGGGACCACATGGATTACTTAATATATATTTAGTTATTATATTATTTTCCCAAATATACAGATTTATATTACGTATTGTACTAAAAACACTTTTTAGTTATGAGGATTTTTTTGCTGGGTGAAAATGGTATGGTAACCCCGCCTGCGCTAACGGGATACGCTGGCGGAGCACCAGTGAAGGGTGATCGATGAGAATGAAAACAGGCCAGTTAGCCCATCATGATGAATTCATCAGGAATTAACCATGATAGTTTCCAGGGAAAACCGCGAGGAAGTCAACCTGGCTGGGTATATTTCTAGCAATAGGATTCTCAGTCTCCATCACTAACAATCCCTTTCCCCGCTTATTTTGAGGATTGGTATTTAACCAACAATTCGGAATTACTTATTTTTAATTTGGTTTTGAATGATAAATTTAAATCAGCAGGGAATTACATGCTTAAGTAATATACCTACATGTAAAACTAATGAGCCGTTCCAATATTGCACGGTAATTTATTATGTCGTAAGTATCTCTTATGGTTTAGCCAGCGTAAGCCATGAGACGAATTTATTCGGCAATTCTATTATAAAATATTAAATGTACACGTATCTATTTATTCATAATTGGATTTATAAATATGAGTGGTCGCCCTGTGGTCGAAATTCGACCATAACATATGTTGTAATAAATTAATTCATTACGGTTACGTTTAACATTCAGTGAGACTATAGACAAGTAATATTAAAGGCAAACAATATTAATCTATTCTCAATTTGATCACATACTTTAACGATAAACAAAAGAGTATATATGCGTGTGTTAAATACATTGTAGCGTGTGTGTTATTTTTATCGATTTAATGTATTTTTTGGGCATAATAAAAAAAAAAATAGCATTCTGCACTCCTTCTTTATATAAACTATAAGTGTGCGAAATTTCATACTCCTCCGTCCGCGCAATTTTCGTTTTTTTTTTTTATTATTATACAACTTAGAATGGCAAACAAGCTGACGGTCCACCTGATGGAAAGTGGTAACCGTCGCCTATAGACATGAGCAGTACTATGGACGTAACAGAGTATATTGTTTCGCCCATGCATTACTATTCCTGAGGACTCAGGTGTTATTCCTCTGTACCCAGTAAATTCACGCCATATCCCACACTTCAAACCGTAACACAGCCATGCAAACACAACTGCTTCACGGTTGAAACACGAATGGGACAGAGGTACACAAGCAAACGACTTTTGTACAGTCTTCCTCTGGTAAAAAGTGAAACAAAGTTTCTGCTTCACGTGTTAATATATAAACCTTTTGTAAATTAATATCTGAAAGACAGTGAAATCCATAACAAAATTCATTGTGTAGTTTAGAAGTAATCAAAGAAATAGGCAAACGCTGACAACTGTATTTTTTTATACTATTTAGATGGAGAATGTAATTAAAACTTTCAATTTTAAAGAATATTTTTATCTACTTATTTAGGTATACCATACCTACCTATATACGTTGTCTGCAGCCGATATTAATAGGAGTTATTACGAAAGCCAAATATTTATTTCCGTCATTCGTATGTATGTAGACACTAACACCAAATGGTCTCTTGTTATTACAAAATTAAATAGTCACTATATCAGTTTATGAAAATATTTGTAAATATTAAATATGTACTTGTGAATTATGTTTATATTGTATTACATTCGTGCCTACGTTATCATAAGATAGCGCTGATACTGGCTCACGTGTGTGCTGTGTAGGCCTAAATAATATGTGACTTTTTGCGAGCTATAATATTGTTTATATTGTCTCAATTGTTATCACTGTGTATATTTAGATTTATTTTTACGTGAATTTTTAAATATATTACCTATTTGAAACGTTTGATGATTCATTTTTCAATGTTCAATTTCACTTAAAGATTAAGATCTTGAGACAATAAAAAAGGTTTGATTTACAACTGTGACACCGTTATTTTATTGTTACTTAAACCCAATTGTATTGTTCCAGGAAGTCAATCACGGCCCTCCTAAATAGGTAAATGAAAGATAATAACATTATGGGTGACGATATTTTGTTTTATTCATTATAATTCTCGTATCTTAATCCTACTACAACTTCAATAAATATCTATACACTTTGGGAATACCTATTTACATTACTAATTAGGTAAACTCTATACAAACAATAGCGGAATGCTACAGTGAGGTACATTAACAAATTAGCTAAGTAGAATATTGCAATAATGCGTAACACATGCATGGACACAAGAGATTCCAGACCTCGGCACAAATTATTGTCCTCTGCCCCTTATTGCTAGATTAACTAATATTAAAATCACAGATATTATAGTGGAAATGTCTCAAGTACTCTCCCGAGTCATTTGATCAGCCTCTATGAGATCGCTTCGCTCGAGGAGTCACTGTCTAGAGAGTACAGTGACGGGCTTGTAGATGTGAGGTGTGAGGGGATGATGCGACGGCGACGGCAGCTCAGGGCTGGATGTGCCCGACGTGGGGGGCGAGTGCGTCATCAGAGGGGGCGACGAGGGCAGCAGCGGCGACGTTTGCGACAGCATCGCTGAACTTTGGCTCAACGGAGCGTTTTGTAGTAACGAGGTTTGTAGAAAAGGTGCCGACGGTAGCCTCTCCGCGCCGTACAGAGCGGGGCCGTACGGAAGGGCGGCATAACCCATCGGCTCTGCGCCACGGAATGCTGGATGCACTGCACTCGGAGCTACGGGCGGTGTCTTCATCTGTATCGGCGCATATCTCTGGTAGAGCAGTTGTGAATAGAGACCGACGAGTTGTGTATAAGTGGCTGGAGGGTAAGCACCAGGCAGTGGAGCGCCGGGGAACAGGGGCCGTTTGAAGCAAGCAAGCCGCGACCTGCCGTTGAGAGCTGACCGCCGACGGAGCTTGCCAGTCGTGCCTCCGATGAATACATCCTCGGCGGAAGCGTCCAGCATCCAGTAATTTCCTTTACCGGGATCGTCGTAATGGCGAGGCACTTTCACAAAGCACTTGTTGAGGCTGAGGTTGTGTCTGATAGAGTTCTGCCAACCTTGCCTGTTTTCTCTGTAGTATGGGAAATTCGTCATGATGTATTCGTAGATGCCGTTTAGCGTCAGCCGCTTCTCGGGACTGTTGCGTATTGCCATCATAATGAGGGCATTGTAGCTGTATGCGGGCTTCTCGTGTTTCTTATCCTTTTTCTCGCTATCATCTCCTTTGGGTTTGGTGCAGTCGACGGGCTCTGTGCCGATAACGTCCAGCTCCGAATCGCTGAGATCCGCCTCCGAGGGCGAAGCGCCCGTTGACGATGTAGTCGGCGACGGCGGTGGCTTGTTCACCGCATGATTCATAAGTATAGAGTTTATACTGAAATCTCCTTCGAACTTCACCATGTTGCACTAATAACAGTTTGTAAGCGACGCGCTGAACGTACACAATGCACGCGATCGGCGAACGAACTGGCGGACGCGGAGGCGGGCTGCGCTATTTATACCGCGGACGGTTAGCGCCGCCTCTGTAGCTTCCGATAGCGGTCGACGCCAATGAGATCGGGAGCTTTTTTGTACATACGACACGCCTCGCTTCCCGTAGCTTGTACCAATCCCCACTTCTGCTGTGGAGCTTCGGCCGTTTCACGTAGTTTTATTTGAACAGCGCTAACTCAAGTTTATTTATTGTTTCGTATCTGTTGTATCGCATTTATGGTTACATAGCGATGGTGGTTTGTTGTGTGATTAATGCAATTAAAAAGCATTCATTCTGGGCATTTAATTGAGGTGTCATTTTTTTTAACGGTAGTTAGGTTATGCGAAATTATACGATTAGATTCTATACTCATTAATTACATATATGCCAAAATATAGGTAGATTATATTTTAATCGGATTACGTTTATCTGTTGTCAGTATTAATTAAATTAAACTGTGTACGTACTTGGATGCGACAAAAGTACTTGATTTGGATGCTTTCGTAAATTTATACGCTATTGATCTTTGTCCAAGGTAAATATTATTGTTTATTCATCATTAATAATGGATATTAATCAACTCGTGACTCACTCGTTTCGTACTTACGGCGGAATCCACGAATGTGGAAGGTATCAACAATTCAGTACCTAGTAGATATCTTATCGAATTATCAATGTGTCACAATAATTTATAATTGTTTAAAAAATGTTTTGTAAATAAATATTAAAAAAAATATATATATTGTTATTAAGTCGACACCTTACCTACCTTTTATATGTATCTACCTATTATTGGCACATAAGTACCATTTGTAACTTGTTTATTTAAATTCAAGGCTTCGCAAAATAAGGATTACTATCAATTGATACCTAAATAAGAAATATCAGGGGGAAAGGGATCGTTAGAAATGAAGTTTGACAGCCCCATTGCTAGCAATATGCCCTATTAGATCAACCTCCACGTGGTTCCCCTTGGAATCCATCGTGAACAATTCTTGTTGAATTCGTCAAGATGGGCTAACTGACCTGCTTCATCCTCACCTATCATCCTTCACTGGTGCCCCGCCGGTGTATACTGATAGCGCGGGTGGGGTTGCCATTCCATTATCATCCATTAAAAAAAAATAGGCAAGTAGACATCTACTTACTATGTACATTATTATCTTTAAATTATTTAAAAAACTGTACTAAAATGTAATAAATTATTTCAAGAAATCAATTCGTGACATTTAGAAATCCTTACGTACTCTTTACTTTTTTACTCTTTCAGGTTTAAATGAGTATTTAAAGGTCAAAATATTAATTTATTTAGATATATCTTCTCTTTTCATTTAAGAGTTTCCTCTTGTCGGTGCAACTAATTCATGCATCTTCTTCCAGCCAGCTCTATCCCACGCCATATCCTTGACCTCCCTATACGACATGACACCTAGCGTTTCTTTTATCTTTCCCATGTAGTTATTCCTCGGTCTTCCTCTTTCTCTTTTGCCCTTTATTTTTCCTTCTACTATGCTCTTTAAAAAGTTAACATGTCGTATAAAATGGCCCAGCATTTTGCCTCTTCTATTCTCTAATCCAGATATTTGTTCTTGCAAAATTATTTAAACCCTTTTAGTGATGTTTTGAACAAAAAAGGAAATTCATGAACCATATTGTCTTTGTGTTCGCTCAGGATGGTGTAGTCACATACATGGCGTGTTATTTTATTTATTTATTTATTTATACTTTTGTACACATTTTAATGTCTACAGGACGGAGTTAATACCTGATGGCATTCTCTACTAATCAACCTTAATTTTACCTATAGAAAAGGCGCATAAATAGATACTTATTTAACAATAACTCATTAAGGTAATTAGCATTCAAAATAACAGGATTAAAAGATTTAATTGGGTAAGTAATTATAATATATTACATATATATATACAATAGTATGTAGGCCTTTGTCCTATCCGTATGGTCCCGGCATAGAACAGGCCATCCCTTCCTTTCATGTGGGTGTCGTAAGAGGCGACTAAAAGAACTTAATGCTATATTTAGCATTAAGTTCTCTAAAAGCATAACTGCGATTGCCAATTCACCTGCCAAACGTGGTAAATTCTTCTAATGGGCAAGACTTATGAAATGATGAAGTATGTCTTAATTATTACTTAGTTATTATTTTTAAATTAACATTAGGTAAGCATTTAGTTTTATTTTTAAACAGCGTATTAATAAATGTAAGTTAGTTGACATTATAATGAATTGTCAGTGGGCATTAACATTAGTAATTAATGAATCATTAATTTACTTCTTGATTTCGGCAACAATCAAATTGTCTGCCAATTGTACCGACTAATTAGTCCAGTGACAATAAAAAACCACGTCGCAAACGTAACACATTTGAGAAACATTGAAAAGACAATCGTTGTTCTAATAATATTTACCTACCAGAGGGAGTCTTTGCAGAAGTCGTTTGCTTGGCCACATCTGTCCCATTCTAATACTCCCTTCTCCCTCGTTCCTGTTTATAAAATTAGACACTTTGACTATGACATTTTGATTGTCCATTTTCTAATGAGTACTAGATACATGTGTTACACATGTTACCAGAGGGTGACTTTGTACAAAAGTCGATTGCTGGTACCCAACCTCTGTCCCATTCGTGTTTCTACCGTGGAGCAGTTGTGTTTGCATGGTTGTGTTTCGGTTTAAAGGGTACGATGTGACAGTGAATTTACAGGGTACAGAAGAATAACACCTGAATCCTCAGGAATGGTAACGCATGGGGGGTGTCATGGGCTAAACAGTATACTCTGTTATGTCCACGGTACCGCTCATGTCTATAGGCGACGGTTACTAATTTCCTTCAGGTGGGCCGTTAACTTGTTCGCCATTCTAAGATGCATAAAAAAGTATTAATTAAACCTGTGACGTTAAAATATAAAATTAACTAAAGGTTAAGTAAGTTATTTAAATGATTTTGTTACTGTTTTTTTTTGTAATAGGTTAGCATTAGTGAGAGATGATAAGTGATAGTGAAACAGCATATAACAGATTAATACACCACGATTTCAACACGATGATTACAAGGAGGGACCACGTGTAGGTCGACCTGTCAGGGTATATTACTAACAATGGAACTGGCAGTCTGCATTACATATACTTGCATATTAGTCGTATAGAAATTGTATTAAAATAGGTTTAGTAGTTTAGTTCTAACATCGAAATAACTGGTTCTACTACAATTTTTGTGGGGTTTTTTTAAACACAATTCTACAATTGCCCTTGTCCAGATCTGGCTCACAAGATGACCGAAAGGTGGCGTCCATCGAAATCAATCCAATCGTTTTGTCGGTGAACGGTCTTATCCCAACCAGTTTGGAACAACATCTCAGACGGTTGGGATTCCGAGGCGGCTCACTCCCGAGAAAGATGCAGAAGGCGGTGCTCTTAGATTCTGCCCGTATTGTACGCCGGTTTCTTTCCTTGGGGCCCTGAACCCCGGCCGACTGTGCTTCTGCCGGGGGTTAGTTGCCATCTCCTCTCCTTAAGAGGGGGAGATGTGAATTTTTGTAAAGTTTAAAAAGTAATAATAATAAAAAGAGCATTAATAAACGATTAATAAGTGAATGTCTAGGTAGTAGTGGTCGGCCAGTGGTCGAAATTCGACCATAACATTATATTGTGAATAAATAAATTTATTATGGTTATGTTTGACATTCAGTAGGACTTTAAGTACCAATTTACAGTGGTACCCTGCACTTTGGTTATGTTTTGCTAAGAGAGGGACTGGCTGTAAACCAGCACTGTGCAGCTGTTCACATTGCGTTGGGACACTCGCAGCGTCAGCTGAGCCGGTTCCTTTTGCCGAGTATGGGACACTTCTTGTATATGTTATCTATATTGTATATTGTAATTGTATGTTTACTGGCAATAAATGTTTCTATTCTATAGACAAATAATATTAAAAACAAACAATATTAATCTAATCTCAATTTGACCACAGACTTTAGCAATAAACAAAAGAGTATATATTCATGTGTGTGCCAAATGCATGGTAGTGTGTGTAATTTTTTTTATTGATTTAATGTATTTTTATGCATAATTACAAAAAAAAAATTAACATGCTGCCCTCCTTCTCTATATAAACTATAAGTGTGTCAAATTTCATACTCTTCCGTGCACGCAATTTTCGTAAAAAGGGGTACAATGTTTTTGTTTCACGTATTAATATATAGATTAGTGGACTTTGAGTCCACATTTACATACATGATATTGTAGATAAATAGACTTTTATGTATGTATGAACTTTGATTACATACAATTTTATCATTCCTACCTAGGCATATATAAAATTAGTCATTAGATAGTAAATCATAACTAGATTTTATCTCTGGATCCGTTTGAAATATTACGTATATTGTAACAAATCGAGTCCATGCGGATAGATTTACTTTTATATATGAATAGATTTATATATATATATATATATATATATATATATATATATATATATATATATATATATACGCCCTTCCTTTCCCGTGGGTGTCGTAACAGCCGACTTAAAAGAGGACGATGGATGGGCAGCAGCATCCTTCTTAAAATATCGCTAAAGCCTGACTGCGGTTGCTAATCCGCCTGCCAAACGTTGCAACTACTGGCATAACCCCCCAAGGGGGAGGCTTATGTCCAGCAGTGGACAGTTAGAGGCTGATATGATGACGATGAAAGTATATATTGAACATACCTAGTATCTAATATAATGGGGGGAGGGATTGTCAGTAAAGGGGAGATTAGTCTCAATTGCTATCAATATACCCCATCAGGTCGACCTCCACGCGGTTCACCCTGGAAACAATCGTGACTAATTTATCGTTGAATTCGTCAAGATGGGCGTACTGACCTGCCTTTTCATCCTCACCTACCATCCCTCACTGGTGCCCCGCCAGTGTATACCGATAGCGCAGGCGGGGTTACCATTCCATTATCATTCAT